AGCAGGAGGACCAAGAGAGCAGTTTAAGCAGGCCTAAGCAGTTGCAGTTCAAATCATGGCAAAGGATTGGTCTATGTTACTATGTTTGCAATAAGTAGGAAATAGAACGGAACACCCTACAGGATCCTAAGAAGGCAAACCATCTAGAATCTAGATGTTGTCACAAAGGGTATCAACGTCCTATAGGTGCAGGGTCTGCAGGGTTGATAAGTCAAACTGAAGAGAGCTACGATCCAGCCATCTGTCACTGAACATCACTGAACCAGCTTTTGACCTGGGAATTTGCTCTTTTGTTTAAGAATGGTTCGATATCATGGCTGAAGGTCATCAAAGCCACACTCAAGAATTTGTTTGCTTCTGCGTACGTTTACAAGGTAGAGCACTGAACTAAAAGTAATGCCCCAATGTCACTCAATGGTGGTTTCTGATTTGGAGGCAAATTGTTTGAGACATCATGCCAGCCCCCTTGGCCCTTGGGATCTGACGGATGGTTGGTGTTCGCTGTTCGTGCCTCGACATGTTGCAGGACTTGCTCCCAAAAAGAGCCAAAGGACTGCAGCTTTCTGATATTTTCAATATCATAACAACAGGATGGTACTGGATGTTTGTGTGGTGTTGGGCCATGTTGGGCCTTCAACTTCTAGCGCAGGACCGGCACACAGGGCGCAAGGGCCTACCAACCCCAGTGGATGAGTCAGACTCTGAATCATGGACTCTTGATCCATTTGAGGATTCACAGGCGCACTTGAGTTTGAGGCGGTTTGACGGGAAACATGGACAATATTTAATTTGTGTAGCACTTCATGGTCATTTTGACTTCAGACACCCCTTGCTTGTGCCAGGACTTCGTCCGCAGATCCGAACTGGAGACTCTTAAGAGACGACGGCTAGCTTGGGAGAAGCAAAAGAGGACTGAGGCTGGTCAGTAGTTGGTTTACAAAGGACGGGAAGGACATAAATATTGGTAAATACAGGTGATGACAGCGCCAGTGCACAGAGTCAGAGCTGTTTGAAAGCATTGCACTTGGGAATGTAGGTCAGGTCATGTCATGTCAATATCATTTTAACTCTGACTCTGTTTCTGGAATAGGTTGTTGCCGGCACAGCGACAGCATCCAGTCCAACAGGTTCGACAACCGTGCTTGATCTGACGGAGGCTTTTTCTGCTTCACTTCAGTTCGTTGAGTTTGTTGAAGACCACAATTCAAAGCCATCAAGCTAGCTTCGAGTTCTGTCATTGTAGTGATATCGCTAAGCCTCCGGCCATTTCAGGAGAACACTCCTTGCAAAAGAACCTGCGAGAGTGACAGCTTAGAGAATCCAGAGTGCCAGTAAACTTTACTGGGTTGTGCTGCGATAGGGGGCACTCGCAGTGCTGTTCTGAACAATAACTCCAACCTACGTGGAAAATCAGTCAGTGTTGGTCAGTCCATGCGTGTTCAATGAGCCATGTGTGATTTGAGGATCTTGATTTTTAAAGATTCATCAACCAAAACAGATTTGAGCCTTCCTTTGTAACCGCCAGCATTTGTTTGGTCAAGCCTTTGTTCCCAAAAAATGGTCTTGCTCAGTCTCCGACAAGCAGTGCAGAGCATGTGCAAGCGTCGCTGCGATCCATGTGAACCAGCTGCACCGCCAGCCTCGAAGTCTGTGGCTTAATATGCTTAATGAGTTTGAGCATCATACTACTTTAAAACTTCTTTCAATTGACCAGGTTTGTTTTTGTAACCTACCTTTAGCACCCCTCAATGTTCTTGCATTGGCACATGCTGCAGGCCCTTGCGTGGGATCAAAGCCAAGAAGTTGAGCCTGAGGAGGACCAAGAATCCGAAGAGGCCCAATTTGTCATCTATAGGGTCATGGTAACTCAGCCCTGATCACGTTACAATCATGTTGGAGCATTCAGCACAAGATTTGGTAGCGATGTCAACCTTGAGGCGACGGTATCCGAAGACCAACATTCCTGCAGCTTCCCCGGATCATCCTACCAACTTCACCAGATTTCTCCAGACTTTCGCATGGGCTAGTACTTTCTTGCGTCGATGTTCTGAGCAGTTCGGTGACAAGTTTGTGTGCCATAAACTGCGGAAGTGGAAATGGCAAATGTCCACTTGCTTTTCCGGTATCGGATGTGCTGAGATGGTGCCAGCCTTATGTCAGTTACAGAACAAAATCTTGTACAAAAAAGTTTGAATTATTGGTTTCCTCAGAAACCTTTCACATCCAATTGCTCAGGCAGCAATCAGTTTGCAAGGTGCAGCTATCAAGTTTATGCAGCGGCGCGGTGAGGCCCTGACTCAGCATGGCCGGAAGCCACCGCTTCTGCTATCCTCAAGCTGCGAAGTTGATCGAGATTGCCAGTCTGTGCTTGAAGCGACGTACGGAACGTATGGGAGCCCTTGCATATTTGAAAACATTTTGAACACTGACCGGGAGGACGGAAAGACCTACTGCTGCAAGCACAAGAAGCTATGTCCTATCTTTCCACCAAAGGAGCGGAACAGACACTTGGCTAAGGTTCTTTGATGCCACAACTGCTTGCTCCCTGAATCTGGCTTGTTCTGTGTATTTCTGGATGTCATGGCTTGTTAGTGTGGAAGGACAATGACGAGTAAAACTCCAAACGAGGGTCATGTAAATCATTTGCTAATTGGTGCAGAGTTTCTTGCAGGCCTTGATGTGATATATACAACACACACTGAGTCATCATCCATCTAAGGACTCCGTGTGAATGTATCAGGACCTTGTCTCAGCTTGGGATTGCAAAATTGTCATCTAACGGCTCCTAAGTTCTGGATTCTTGCAATGCTGAGGCCCTGTCTGTGTTGGCTTCAGCATGATGGGAAAACGCCTCCGCACTCAAGACGCACAGTTCAACACCCATGAGGCCCTGTATGCCAACATCGCCCCAGGCCAGCAGGTACAGATTGTGGAAAATGTGACTGAGTATCCAACATCCCTGATACAGCAAAAGCTGGGAGATGATTTTGAATTGAAATCAGTGAAAATCGACCCCAGGATTTTCGGGGTTCCTTGCTGTAGGGCAAGGCTCTACGCAATTGCTTGGAGGAAGGACATGCTGCAATGGACAGATCATTTTAGCTTGGAGGATTTCTTGGATTGCCTCACCTCCCAAGTTGCACTGGATGCCTTGGAGTACTGGTGGATGGATCTTCCAACAAGCCAGCTGACTCCCGGGGAAGAAGTTTGGCTGCAGTTATCCATTTCAAAACCACATTAATTCAGCCAGTGGATGTTTGTGAAAATGTCATTCAAGTTCTATGCTGATGCCCACCACAAAACAAAACTGACAAGTCAGTCTATCCACTTTGTGTGTGTGGGGGGGAATTTCCCTTGATTTCCCTTGTCAGATTGCATGTGGATACCCCTCGGAACTTTCAAGAGATTCCAATGCTAGCTCTCAGGCGAGAAACCTGCAGGAATACAACAAGCTAGGGTTGCGCTATGAAATGCCTGATTTAGCACAATACGCTCGCAATAAGCGTGCTCGTGGTGAAACCGTTGATGGTTCTCTTCCTACCCTGACGACGAATTCTGGGAAGATATACTCCAAGGCAAGGGCTTCTATAGAATTATTTTGAAGTGTTATGTCATCAAAGACAAAGTTGCTGACAATCTGATGTTGTTTTCTAGTTTTTTCCTATCGGTCTCTGGCAGGCTATGAAGCGGTATCTTGCCCCGCTTGAGATGCTCAGCAGTCATTGCCTTCCAATGACTGCAAAACAAGCGAAGAAGTCCCATGCTCGCCGCCTTGTGGTAGACTCTGTGAAGGCATCCAGCCTCGTCAAAATGAGCGGGAATGGGATGAACCTAATGTGCATAGGTGCTATTTTGCTTGCGTGTGTTTTGGGCCTAGAGCCAAAGAAGAGAGGACAAACAACGTCCTGAAATGTCCTTTAAATGCATTTCAATTCGTCAAATTCACACTCGCTGTAACCGCTGAGATTCGTGTGCAGTGGGGTTGCACTACTCCAGGGATATTGAAAAAACACTCACTGTCACTGTGCGACCGAACATGTGCGAGTTAACGATCGATGCGTCCCGTTCGAAGGTGTGTGAATTGGACTGTGAAAGACAAACTGTTTTTCTTGTAAGCTGCTGTGAAATTGATGATCGAAGAACAATCATTGCAAGATATTGCAAGCACGAGTGAACTTGATAGTTGAAGAGTATGGCAACGCCAGCATTGTTCATCCGATTGGGGTCAGTGCTGGTTTGCAGGCTCAGGGATTCTAGAGCTAATTTTGATTGGCTTGGCCAAATGGGAAAGCGTGCTTCAGGGGGTGGTGGATCCAATAATGGAGCGAAATCCCAGAAGCTTGAGAAACCATGGTGTGAAAAACTTTTGCAGGAAGTGGGGCCACGACCTTGGCTGAATTTGAAAATTGGAAACAACAGTTGAGAGTGTGACTGTGATACTAGTGGTGCATGCTTCCTATTCATGGACACTTGCATTCAGCAAAGCCCCGCTTCAAGGTCTTTTGATGTAGACCAGGGGCAGCATCCTGTTCAGTGGGTTCTGGACAATTGGGAGCCTTCACTCATCCCACCCTTGTGTTGCTGGCTGGATGGTCTCTGTGCTGTGACAACATTCAGCCCCGATTGGTCAACAGTGACCTTGCCGGCTCCAAGGATGCGATTAAACTTGTTTTGTATTTGGGGGGGAGGCTCCCTCCAAGTTTCCAGTCTTGGAAGCCAGGGTCCCCAACAGCAGCGAGCAGCCAAGGACGAAGCAAGTTGCCAGACCTTGTCGCTGAGCTTCCTGGCCATCACGCTAGAAGCTCCAATTGAAGGTCTGCCCGTGCTGACCGATTGGATCAGAACATGTTCTGATGTGTGGCTCAATGGATTTGAGTCATGGCGTGAGCCGATTGAAGTTCGATTGGGGCCGGATGGAAAGTTGGGGGAGGAGCTCAAGCCAGCCATGCTGATTCCGACCAAGGGACGTGGCAGGGCAAGCATGATCCTTTTTGGAGTTCTTTACACCTACGTGAAGCTCTGTGACACCCTCTCAGATGCTGAGCAGAATGACTTCTTGAGGCGGGGACAGCCACTTGGAACCATGTGTCGCATCAAATGGGTCGCCTTATAAGCCCCTCAATTTTTTTTTTATAAGGTGGTGGTTCCGCTGGAACCGCCGCCTTCCACCTACCCAACATATTCCAATATTATCACCATATGTTACACGCCGGGCCAACTTCAAGCCATTTGCAGGGTTGTATGATGACAGTTTACTAAAAAGTTCACCCCTCAGACAAATTTTGCCAGCAAAAGTAAATGTAAAGCCACTCACCATCAGCTGCCAGCATATCTGTAAAGGTGGTGGTTTCACTGGAACCGCCGCCTTATGTTGGCCAAAAAAAAAGGTTTAAAGGTGACCCTTTTGGTCTGAAGGAGAATGGGGCAGGGAGGATTCAAAGCTCCAGCTATTTGTTTCCCCCATGGAGCTGCATACTGCTGGTAGACTGCTTCATGAGGGAGACAACACCTAACCCATTTGGTAAGTGGCCCTCAATTCTACAGGAGGCTATGGGCAGGCTTGGCAAAACCCCATTTGATGATGACAAGCCCACCAAATCACCCACTGGCCGACAAGTCAAGCTAGTATCCAGAAACAAGAAACTGTCGTCTTAGACGCCAACGAAGGTGGTGGTTTCGTTGAAACCGTCGCCTTTGGTCTGAACCCAAAACCATCACCTTTGGTCTGAACCCAAAACCGTCGCCTTTGGTCTGAACCCAAACCCCATTATTCCTCCATCCTTTGGATCACATTCCCGGCTTTTGGTCCTGCAGATTCATGGACACCGTGAAGGACATCCAGGTGGTCCTCATGCCAGCACCTGGCATCGGTCAATCTCTTTCTGTATTCAGCTTCCGGAGGATCCAAGTGACAGAGCAGTTGCATGAAAGGCAGCGCAAGAATTTGCTGCAAAAATGCTTGATTTTCGCTGGACGCGCCCGGGAGCTTCAGGTTGAGGACCACATATATTTGGTTTGAATCCGTAGTATGCGGTAACGCCTTCAAAAAATATTCCATTTTGTCATTGTCCATGAACTTGTGCTGCGGTTTGTCTTTGCGAATCCCACGCAACCATTGTCGAAGGACCCGACAACATACAGTGAGTTCAGGGATGCTTTCATGGATGCAATCAAAGAATACAACTGTTACGGAGCAGCCAAACACTCGATCCGGCTACAGATCGATGACGCAAGTGCTGTGCAAATGTATGGATTCAAGGCATTTTTGCCGTTTGTTGAATTGAAACTTGTTTCACATCACATTTGATTGAATAAGAATGAAGCATACAGTTTTCAACAATATAGCGCTCGGACACATGAAGCCCGATGCAGGTTGGAGTCTGCAATGATGCATGGACCACCATTGAGAAGCACCTGCATTACTACCGATTTGCTGAATCAGGTTGGGCTTGGATAGTTCTTGTTCATTTGTTGCGGTAGACCAACCTTCATAGTCCTTCGTTGTTGCGGTAGACCAACCTTCATATATTGGTGGGGTGCTCATCAAGACTAAGAACATTCCTAGTGGTGGCCCAGAGATATATACAACAAGTAAGAGGTTTCCACACAGTTTTGAAACCTGTTTAATCTGTTGTTACCAGCTGTGACGACCCTGAGCCTTCTCCAAAGAGCTGCTGAACAATCAACGGTGGCTTCTTGGGGGCGCTCCAAGTTCTGGCAATGCTGTATGGCACTCCATTCTTACAGTGGACAGCTCAAAGCAGGTCGGGTTTGTTTCAACATTCACTGGCCAGATTGTATTTTCTGTCCCGTATAGCCGCGTATAGCCCATAAGTTTTACTTTCCCAATGAATCTCCAATATTTGAGGATAGCTTTTACCGGACCAGCGTTTGTTGCATGTATGATTGGGTTTTCAACTGACCACTGTTTCACGCAAGCAATAATACAGTAGCAAGTCCTGCAATCATGCGGCGCTGTAACATCGAGGTGCTGTTTCTGCAAAGGGTGCTGTTTATCCACGATCGCGTGGCTCGCCGTGGGGGGAAGGCTGCCTTGCTTCGATTGTCGCTTCAAGAATGGTGCAATGAATGTGAATCTTGGCGGTTGTTGATGATTGTAGACTGATAAATTGGCGCTCAGTTCACAACTTTTTTTGGCAAGTCTTGCGGGCAGAAGTTGATACACCGTTCACAACGATGATGAAAGTCAATGAATACATCAATGTTGGGGGGGCAACCCTTGGTTCAACCAGGAGCGCATGTGCTTGATGCAGCATGTTCTTCATGAAATGCGCCTGACGGTAGATCACAATGGCGAGCACATGTTCATGGACGAGACAATCGCCAAAGTTACCAAGTTGGCGGTGGATGGGTAACTTAGGTTGAATTTACAGTACTTCTTTAGGTTGTTGAAGGAGTAGCTAATAGATTGAAGCATACACGTACCTTATTTAAGAACTGGTCCCTTGCATCATCCTGTCTACACCCACTTTCAGCATCTTTCAACAGTACTTTTACTCTTACCCACTGTGAGGGACTACACAAACGAGTTGATGGAAGCTGTCACACTACGAGATCCAAATTTCCAACCGCATCACTTGATGTTTTGGAACGAGAATGTCACCATGAAGGCCCCGCCAACAGAAACCAGCTTTGCAACAGTCGACAGTGAGATCGACAAGCTGGATAAAAACGCACGAGAAAGTGCGTTCCGCCAAGACTGCCTGAAACTGGCGCGTGATTGCGCACAGCTTGCTCAACTCTACAAAATGGATAGCAAACATGAGCGAGGTGTGAAGCTCCAAAAAATCACCCACTTGAAGCAGCAGAATGCAGTGGGAGCAGACTTTATCCAGAAGTACATGCATCTGAACGCGCGTCATGTTGCTGGACGAACTGGCGAGCTGGAGAGTGCCTTGGATGAGGTCGGGCTATGTATCAACTGGCTTGAGCTGTCTGTTAGCGGTTCAGAATGTTAATCCCACTGATTTTTTAGGTTTAAGTTTGATGACAAAACTGCAGCTAAGAGTGCTTTGTTGTTGACAGTTTAACCCTGTCAGTTTCTCATCCGCTTGGGGAAGCACGAGAGGTTCAAGAAGGGAGGGGTTGTGGTATGGCTCGACTTGACAAAATTTGGAAGACTCACCCACAACGATTTGAATGATGCCATGGACTTGCTCCAAACAGCCCTGGGCCGTTTCCCCAATCGCTCTTGCGCCTTTGTGATATGCCCGCATTTGATCTCAGAGAAGGTCCAATGCGGCCTCCGTGGTGAGATCAGGCCGGAATGAGATGCAACATGTCTAGATAATATGTCTAGCGCATGGACTGAATAGCATCTAAGGCTATCAACAAACCATTTATATACTGTCATTTGTTCAACATCTTGCCCTAGTTGCCTAGTGGGTTCCTGGTTCCCACAAAAATATCTTTGGGATGACTCATTGTGATGACATGTGTTACAATAGACTTGGTCTAATGTGCCTACTTTACCAAACTCTTACAGCTTTCCCGTTGACCATGCTGCAGGAGAATCGAGGACAAATGCGACGCCCTTGGAATCTACGCAGAGATGATCCAATTGAGGATGTCGGAACCACCTGGACAGAAACATGTCCCGCTCCAGTTTCCTTGCTGGATTTGCTTCGACGAGAAATCCATGGCCGACAACGTATTCAAACAATCCCAGCTGCTTTCGGACAGGTGTCAAGGGTGGGATGTATCTTTCCTTCGGGTCACCTAAAAACACCCGGTCAACAAGCCCCATACTTAATCATGGTCCTGGTCATGAATCATGGTGTCATGGTTGCTAACCATTGTGGCCTTCCAGCAGTCTACCAACCGAGCTTCCAATCCAACATGAATCCCATCACATCGAGGTTTTGAACATGATTTGGAAAAAGAAAATCATCAATGTTACCACATTCCCCTGCACCCTGAGGTGCAACCGAACGCCTTTGGTCTGGATTCCAGAGAGCCAATATTGTGTTCCTGCGCCAGCGAAAGATTCTCCCCCATGTTCTGCTGAGATCAGGCTATGCCACTATGAGGTTGAAAATGTGGAATGTAAGTCTTAAAGATGTTTTGTTCATGATATTCCGTTCAAGTCAGACCAACATTCTTTTTTAAGATCTTGAGGATGTGATGGCATGTGTTGCCAACAAAGATATGTGTGTCTGTGCGGGTAAGTGTATGTTTCACGTCCATGTTTTGCACCGGCAGGTCCCTATCTGCATGTCAAGAAAGTGCTCAGTTACTGGGCGGGGAAATGATGCCAGAGCAGGTCTTGTTGGCCTTGCTTGGGAAAACAGGTGTGAATGGTGTTGTGGGTCTCATCAACCTATCACCTTACGACACATGGGTTGAGCAAACAGCTTTGAAATATGGCAAAAAGTCGGGTGGGGAGATCACTATGCCATCTTTGTCTTTGTCAAAGAATGTCACAGTGCTTTCCTACTGCGAGAGAAGCTTTGCCCTCCACCTCATGCAGGACAACTCTTGTATTCTTCATCTTGCAATTGGTTCATGTCTAGTGACTAGTGTGAGACATCTGGAGGTCAATGTTACAATATGCCGCATGAAATTTTTTTGAGGGTCAACAGCGGGCGACAACTTTTTCTGGATGATAGTGATAATTACACAGTTGCGCAGGATTGGAAGAAGGGCTCCCACCACATGGGAAGCGACGCCCCAAAGTATGAGCCGGAACCTCCCAAATCCGAGCCGCTTGATGTCACCAAGTTTCCGCTGCAGGCAAGCTTGACTTCACAGCCCAACGCTAATTGATTTAGCTGTTTCGACTAGTCTCCACACCTCAGTAGTGAGTAATGAGAATCTGTTTGATGCGTGGCTGCGTTAGCTAGCTTGCCCTGACAAGCCCTGATGAAGTGATCTGTTCAACAGGTGGTACGACTGGAGAAGAATTCGGTGGAGACCCAAGGATGGAAGAAATGGAAGATTTCCCTGCCACAATCCTTTCGCATCCATTGGCTGGATGATGTGGTCTATTCTGAAGAATGGCGCCAGCTGATTTGTGACTTTGATTCCAAGCTTCTAGGCATTACTGCCACAAGCCAGCAACTCAATAAAACCATGACATGACTGAGTGGACTTGTGTGGTCATAATCTTGTTCAAGTTCAATGGCATTCAGACTCGTTCTTTCAAGTCGTTACTATTGTTAAATCGTGATCGGACTCGCTATTCTCAATGCCCCTTCCCAGGTTTGGTCTTGCTGGCGCTCCTGCGCCAAGCGTTTCCGGGTCCGATGAATCATCCTCGACCGTGATGTGGCCGGCTCGAGTTCCTTGGACCAGCGAGCCCACGACGATTGATGATCTAGCAGAAACTTGGTCTGTGGTCTGGGGACTGGTCTGGGGCTATCACTTTATCCCACAGTGCTTGCAAATGTGGAGATGTTTTCACAACATGTCTTGATAGGGAAAGAGTGGATTAACTGAGCTGTGTTTTGGGTGGTCCTTCATCATCCCTAATTTCAGGACCGCTACAATGTTGAATGCAAGATCAGTGGAAGGACATCCGGCACCACATTGATTGTGGTGGGCGCCAAGCAGCGGGATGGCACTGTGCACAGTGCTGTGGAGTCACAAACCTACAAGCTTTTCTTGGTATCTAGGCGAATCAATGAAATTACTTGCCACCCCTTTGTGATGCCTTCCGCAACTGATGCAAAACCCATGAAAATGCGTCAATCCAAAGATAGATTCGCTTCAGTGTTGCCTACACATTTTTCATTGTCCACCTCAGGCTGCCCATGTCGAAGTGGAGATTCCAATCAGCGAGTTTCAGATTGGCCATGGAGGTGGCAAGTGGTTGAAGGCTGAGAAAGTCATTGCTCTCCAGCGTGAATGCCAACCAGGTGGTGCGTTGCATGTTTGGGGGCTGCAGGTGTGTTGGGGGGTTGCAGCGCATGAACGCAAGGCACTGGATTTCAGTTGCCAAGATTGATGAGTCTTGAAACTTTTACACGCTGCCCAATTGGCTCCTCAGTTTTCGACCGTGTTGCCAAATTTCGCCTACTGTGCAAACCACTAGCCCTTAAGAGCCCTTGGGTTGGTGGTGGAAGTGGCTTCATGGTGGCATTAGGAGACCTTTTAGCTCAGCATGGCTTCTCGCAGGACTCACTGTCGCCAGCAGGGTGCTTGGTTACCAACTGTATCATTGGAATTGAACTGAAGTAGTCTCCCCATAACATAATCCTCCTCTTTTTGCAAAAAGACTGATACAATGAACTTTCACGTAATAGCTTTGACTTCATGTGCTTCTCTCCCTGGAAGGATTTTGATAACCTGGCTGCAAATGACCCTGCTTTGACCCAGACTCCACAAGAAAACGTGCCGGCCTCAAACAACTTAAAGCATCTTAAAGCTTTAATACTTTTTTTGGGGTTCCATCCTGACATCCTGCCCTTCTCAGGCTCGATCTTCAGCTTCACCACCTTCTCGAACACCTACACCGCTTCCGCAGGATGGAAAGGGTCAAGGTGAGGGTGGAGGCAAGAAGTCTACATCTTCAACATCAGATGCAAAAGGTTCGCCTTTGCCATTGACATCAGGTATGAGCAACAAAAGCAATGACCCCATGCTCTCACAAGATCAGATTGATGATCTTGCCAGAGGCTTGAAGTCTGAAATCCAGTCTACCGAGTTCAAACGAGGTCGGAAGCCTAAAGAAGTTGAGGAGGCTGCATCGGAGACCAATACAGGTGTGGGTGCAAAGAAGGAGGAACCTGCAACAACAGAAGAAGAATCAAAGACGAGGAGGAAGGTGAAGAAGGATGATGAGAAGACAAAGAAGCATGATAAGGATGAGAAGACGAAGAAGGATGACAAGAACACGAAGAAGGATGATGAGAAGACGAAGAAGGGTGATGAGAAGATGAAGGGTGATGAGAAGACGAAGAAGGGTGATGAGAAGACAAAGAAGGGTGGAGCTGCAAAAGCAGAAGGAGCACCGAAGAAGCGGAAGGCAAAGGAGGACGATGAGAAAACGCATAAGGATGATGAGAAGGCTGATGAGAACACCAAGATGGATTGCGAGGGAACGGCGAAGGATGATAAGAATACAAAAGCTTCCAGGACAAGCTCTGCCAAGACCAAGTCTCAGTCTCAGCCCAAACCATCCAGGTCCAAAAAGATTTCGAAGGAAGAGGCGGAAAATGAATTGGATCCTGAGGAAAGCACCACAGAGGAGGAGGATTCATCTGCCGACACCCTGTGTTTAGATGGCAGGAAGTTGAAGGATGCAATAAAGGAAAGAGATGATGAGACAAAGAATGATCTGAAGCCCAAGAGTTTGTTGAAGGCTTTTCGGCAAGCGGATGATGATAAGACCAACAACGCCAAAAAAAAGGGGACTACGGGCGCAGCGCAGCTTGGAAAAGTCCTGGGAATGGTTTCTGGTGCAGCAGCAAATAAGGAAAAGACAAAGAAAGCAGAATCAAAGAGCAAGGCTGGCAAAGCAAAGAGCAAGGCTAAAGCAAAGAGCAAGGCTAAAGCAAAGGGGTTGCGTAAGCAAAAGAAGAACGAATCGGAGATGGACGATGACACGGAGGAAACAAAAGAGAGCCTGGAAGATGAAGATGAAGATGAACAGGATTCCGAAGATGATCCAAAGCCAAAGAAGGATCGGAAGTCAGCTTTGAGGGCCAAAAAGAATGGCGGCGAGAAGACCATGAATGAAGAAAAGAAAAAGAGCAGGAGTGTCAAGATCGAAGAAGACAAGACAAAGGAAGATGAGGAGGAGAGTGAAGGGGAGGAAGAGGAGGAGGAGGAAGGATCGAATGATGATACAAAAGAAGATCCCCCAAAGTCAAAGAGTGGAAAGGGCTGCAAAGGTGAGATTGACAATAAGACATCAAAAAAAGATCGCTTGAAGAGGAGTGGAAAGTCCCTTGACAATCCTGAGCCAAAGAAAAGGAAGCCATCGACGGCTGATGAAAGAGAAGAGGAGGACATGGAAGAAGACGAGGGTGCGGAAGACAAATACGAAGAGGAAGAGGAGGAGGAAGATGAGACTGCTGAGGATGTTATCCTAGATGAAGAGGGCCGTGTGTTGAACAAGACTGTTGCGAAGACAGGTCAGAACAATCCAAAAAAGGAAGCAGCAGCAAAAAAGAGAAAGGCTGGCAAAGCAAATGGCAAGGAAGCGGAGACGAACAATGACGATGAAGCGGAAGTTGAGAAACATGCTGAAGATGATTTGGAAGATGAATCAAAGGCAAAGAAGAAGGAAAGGAAGTCAGCTTTGAGGGCAAGCTCTTCCAAAAAGAAGGGTGATGAGAAGACCATGAAGGAAGAAGAGAACACGAGCAGACGTGTCAAGTTCGAAGAAAACAAGAAAGAGGAAGATGAGGAGGAAAGTGGGAAGGAAGGAAATGAAAAGGAGGAGGATGATGAAGAAGATCACCCAAAGTCCAAGCGTGGAACGTCTCGCAGTGGAAAGAAGACCAAGAATGCAAAGGGCAGGAATGAAAAGGAAAGCTCGAAGAAGAAAAAAGAAAGGGGTGAGAGTGATGACCCAGAAGAGGAGAAAGATGACCACGTCGTGTGCAAGGCTGCCCCTGTGTTCAAGCCATTCCAAAACACATTAACCCCATGATTGCCACTCCAGGTGGTTCGCTTCATCTTCCTGAATTTGACCTGGAATCTATACAACACTAGTTTCAATAAGCACATTCGCTGTACTTTTATGGGTTTCTCTTTGGTATGTATTTGTGATGTTGGTGTTCTCCTGAGCCCACTGCTTCAACTTCAAGGTCATGGAAACAAGCGAACCAAAAACCACCTTTCTTATGTGCTTGCAGGGCCCATCTCTTCGAGCTGAATACCAGAAGTTCTTGGCCAAAACATCTGCTGAGCTGAGAGATGAGAACCCTTCTTGGTCTGGCATTCAAGTTTTGGCCAAAGCCAGGGAAATGTCCGAGCCTTACTAAGATTTGCATAATCACACCCAATCTTTCACTCTATAGGTTCAAACAAAGTCTTGGTCCGTATCAGATAGGGCAGGTGTCAAGAACCCCTACTATGTAAACTCTTCACCATTGTCCTTCAGATTATTTTCCGGACGCCATAGCCTTGCCCTGCCCCAGCCTGCTTGCTCAGGTGGAAGACAGATCCGGTCCGCATCAACACGATGCGCAACATGTCAGCCTCGGAGCTGAGTCGACGCCGAATGCGAAAGCCCGGCGCTGCTGAGTGAGGGGGAATTGCATGGGGAGAGTCGTTGGGCTTTTGAGAGATTAAGATGATAATTGCTACAACCTATATTAGTCTGTAATGCTAGCAGCTGTTTTTATCTAACCAGGCTTTTGTGTCTGTGTGTGCAAGCGCGTTGGAACATATGATAGAATATGCAGCACACACTGTTATTTCTTTCCTAACATAAAACATCATAAAACTATAAAGAGGACATGTGATCGCTCAATGTTTGATTGGCACCAGCCCAATGGCCCCATGCTGCTACTTTGGGTTTTGGGTGGGCATGAGAGCTCGCTGGCATAGATCTCAGCCAGAAGTGCTTGTTGCCCTGCGGGTTGAGTCTGGAGACTGCCCGATTTCATTGGAGAAAGTTTGCCCTGTCCGATTGTAGTCGCTTTGAAGCTTGAGTTTATTTGAGCCACGATTTGTTCCTGTTGGACTTGCTTTGCAGTTGAACTAAACTCAGGAACTCGGAGCCTCTTGTTGTTTCCATTGACATTGCTTTTGGTACTCAACTTCGAACTGTAACATGTCCACTTCTGAAATGTGATTGCTTGTTTGCCAGGAGAGAAGGATCGACTAATCACGGCTGAATGGACTTCGGATAGTGACCATGTGGTGCTGGAAGTGCCACAAGAGGGCACTAAGGCCAAAGTGGACGCGGACCGCTCTACTTGGCGGAGCTTGCTTCAGGAAATGGAATCCGAAGCAGAGATTGTGGACGTGACCATCAATAGCCATGATCTCAAAAGGTTCCATCAAGACGATGGAGCTGTCCTTAGATACGATGTTGATGCTCTAATTTATCAACATAGTGTTCATGTTGAGGCAGTTGCGGTTGTGAATTGCTTTGACATTTTCCCGCTGGACATACCACAGAAACACTTGTTAAATGGCTTATCTTTTGTGTAAGTTTGGCTGATCATCTGATTCTCCTGTCTAAGAGAGTTTGTCTTTTTTGAGGCAAACTTCCTTTTGGGGTATGTTGGAAATGTATTATTCAATAGTCCTGTTTGCGTCCTTTTTGTTCATGTCTAGCCTTCTAAGGTGAAGATGCTTATGAGATCAAGCCCAAGCCGAAGCCTTGTGTGTTCCAATGGACCGTCCCGACATCCGTGAGCACCTGCAAGTATGCGTCACTTGCTTCTGCGTTCCCATCGCAGGAGCACCGTGCAGTTTACGAGCAACCATGTGCTCACAAGTGCATCTCATATGAAATTCTGTATTTTACTTGTGTGCCAAGTGTTGAAGGCCCTGCTGGAATCCAAAATGCTTGCTATGACGTGGCGGGTGGCATACGTCAAAGAATCCAATGCTCCTTGTTTTGGGTTGCCTTGAGTTCACAGCACTTCACAATGCATTGCTTGTTCTCACGCTGTTCCTAACCCTTGCTTTGAACTTAGGAGATCAACCCGCGTACCTTGACCGAAATGGGTTGTCTCTGTTCATACAGGTTCTCAGTTTTGTGATGTATCGTGAATGACACATGACGTATGACATACTGTATGTCTGTATGTTGAAGGATTGACTGGCACCCTTTCCTGTTTATACAGTGGATTTGACTGGTGTGCCTCTTGTGTGCTGCATCCACCCATCATTGAGATGCTCAGGAAAACCTCTATACTTTCTGAAAGGGTCGACAGATCTCAAGCTTGCGAAAAAC